GAACAAATCGTGGCACCAAAGCAACAGAAGGGGCACTGCGTTGGGCGAGTTGCTCGTTTTGCCACCGTCAGCCTAACCATGACGAGAAACGCATGAGGATACTTCAACTTCAACCTGCATGCAAATGCGCTGCCCATTTTGCACATCTCAATTGTATCCAACACGAGCACTGCGCAATTGTGTTGGTTCTTTTGCTGTTGACAGGCAGGTCGGCACAAGGATGTCAAAAAAGGGCACTCACTGGCCACTGGCTGCTCTGTTCTTGACTCATCTTTTAGATGGCCATGGGTCAAAACCCCGTACCCCCAGTGAACATCCCAATCCCCACGAAAATAGACTAAAATGGGTGGTGCACCTACCCCAAAATGGACGGCCAGATCTCATCCGGACACCATCAACGATCCAAGGCCGACATCGCGATCAAACACTGCCGTTGAGGTTTGGGCAAAAGCTGCAGGTTCGACCGAGGATGCTGAAAACAGCATGGAAAGAACGAATCTCAAAGCCAAAGAATCTGTTGGTGTATTAAATGGTAAGTCCTGGACACTCAACATTTGAATACGTGCACAATCGTGCCTTGCCATTTGTTCAAGCACGCCTGGTCATTGCAGGCTTTGCCAAACCAAGCTGGCAGTTGTTGTTTTCTGTCACAGGCTCTGTCGCAGTGTCTGTTGGCTGGCGGTCCCCGGCGTGGGCGGTTGGATGTCAGTCAAAATCTAGCAAAACCAAACCTGTCCAGTGGGAAACAAGAGCAAGGAAGTTGGACCATCGATGTTCTGGTGCTTGTGGAGACACGAAGTGGCGACATCTTGGGTGGCAACATAAAGAAACCGCTAGAGAGATCTTTCAACTTTGACGTGAGTCGAAATTCTTGCCCAAAAGAAACTCTAAAGGATTACCCCCTCGTTTTTCAGGTGTATTTGGCGCACCCCACTCTCTTCTTTCCCTGTATAGGGCAATTCCCGTTGTTCAGGCGTTCCCCGGCATCCCCCCCCCCCCCTCCCCCGTTTTTTTCTTTTCCCGGTGGGTGTCAGCATCGGCAAATCACGACCGCCTTCCCCCCCCCCCCCGCCACTTTCTCGTTGGCTTGGAACTCCTCGCGGCAAGACTCTCGCTCTCTCGCTCTCTCTGTTGTCGAAGCATACCTGGAGTGAACCGTAAAAAATGGGGTCATTACCCAAAATAATAGGGTCAATGACCCATTTTTAAAGAGTCATGGAGACTCTAGGTAGATGGCCGCCTGCCCATAGCTGGCCTTTTGGAATTCCTCTCCGATGGCTTCTGCTCCAATCTGCCTACCGCGGTAGGCAGTTGCAAAGCACAGCAAACCCACCGGGGCACCCAAATATGCCGACCCGATCCGAGCAATCATCTAAGAAAATCTAGGTCCTCCAGATTTGAGAGGTTAGAACAAGGGTACCAACTTTTTTATGTCTATTTCAGTAGGGGAAACCCTCCCCCAAAAAAGGGATTAGAAAAAAACCACCTCTCGGGGAAGGCATAGAGACGGCCGCCTGCCGTACACTTTGGCGACTTTGGACCCCAGAGACTGACGTTCGGGGGCGAGAAAAACCACGAGAAAAACCCACCCGTAGAAGGGTGTACCTGGAGTCTCCTTCTGACCCTTAAAAAATGGTGGATCATTACCCAAAAGAATGGTTGGTCAATGACCCATTTTTAAAGGGTCAGAAGGAGACTCTAGGTATGGGTGTTGATCCAAAGGTTCTTTACATCTTGGTTGACGTTGGGTTTGGGGAGCAAAAGTTCTCAAATTTTAGCAGGCAAGTGAAGATTTCAACCACTAAACCACAATAAGCAAAAATGTTCAAAATGTTTCCCAACAACAACCATGACATGGCCAACATGAGAAACCACCAAGGAAGATGACCATCAAGGCTTAGAGCCAAAGCAACTCGTATTGATCAGGACTTGACAGCATACGCAACCGGAAGCCCCCAGCCGCGGGTTCAACAGGCGCATCTCTCCTTGACCGATTTGTCCACCAGCTCCTCATACAGCTTGGCCTGAGCAAAAGTCTACTGTTCCGACAATGGCTCCAACCCAGGAAATGGAATACCTAGAGTCTCCATGACCCGAATCAAAAATGGGTCATTGACCCCATTATTTTAGGTATTGACACGGTATTGACCCCATGATTTTGGGTAATGACCCACCATTTTTTAAGGGTCAGAAGGAGACTCCAGGTACGGATGCCTAAAATGCCATGCCGAACGAGACCAGGAGGTTCAAGCCGAATTGATTCGGCACGCAGTCGTTTCCTTTTCTGGTCTCCCAACGGGAACTGAACCTGGAGTCTCCTTCTGACCCTTAAAAAATGGTTGGTCATTACCCAAAATAGTGGGGTCAATGACCCATTTTTAAAGGGTTATGGAGACTTTAGGAAGAAGTAACTTCTTGAGAGGCACGGCCGAATTGCCAGATTCGCGATCTGCACAAAAACTATCGCCGGGCGCAAAGGTCCAGCGACGGACCGCCAGGACCCCCGTTTTTGGTAGAGGTCCTGTTTGTCACCTCTTGAAGTCAACGTACCCAAAAGCCAGGGTTTACATATATCTTCCTGATCCATCATGGCAATCACGGGCAAAATCTGCGAGTTGTTTCCAAACGTTGACCAAGTGCTCGCATCTCTGTCTCGCTCTTGGAGCCAAGATCGATTTACCCTCCCGTTGCTTCACTGCCACGGCAAAGCGCCGGCCAGACTCACCGCTCGTATTCTGATTCGCTCACGCCGAGCGAGTGGAATGGCCCCAAAAGAAAAGTCCCCAAACGTTCGATTTATCGCTAAAGTGACCTTCCCCCCAAAGTGACTATTTAGGTCCTCCAGCGGAGAGGTTAGAATAAGGGCACCAACTTTTTTCTGTAGTCCATTTTAAAAAGAAAAAATAGTAGGGGAAATGTCCCCCAAAAGGGGTTAAAAAGGGCACCTAGCTGGGGAACCTAGAGTATGATCACCCGGGCACCCGCGCCGTCGACTCCACCGGCGACGCAAAGCCGCGAACCAGCGACGCCGCGGCCGGGCGGGCCGCGGGAAGAGCCGCGCGGGACAGGGGCGCCAGGGCGCGTCTGAGCGGATCGACGCTCAGAGAACTCTCCTTCCATTTGCTTAAGTCCCCTGGGAAGAAGAAAAACAGCCATGGTCTCCTTGTCCCAATAACTTTTCTCAAGTGAGTAAACATAGATTGTCCCGGTTGGAGTTAGAGTGTATTGGGCCCTCAGGCTGGCCCTCAGGTCTTGCCCAATACGTTTGGCAGGCAGCAAAAATAAGGACCAACACAGCGCGTGATCCCTGCGGGCAGCCTGCACTCACCATCCGCATTGACCCTACGGTTTCGTTTGACCAAATGAGGGCAACCCAAGCTTGGAATGGCCCATCACTTCCCGCCATGATCACAGATTTGTTTGAGGGGGAAGATTCAGTCATTCGCTTTACCCTTTACAGATAATCCTCCCTCCACCCATCCGACCAAAGATCTGTTGTCCCTGAAACAGGGCGCGCCTCTCAACAACATGACTTGATGAGGAGTGATCCGAACATGTTGAAAAGCAACCTTGGTTCAAACAGGCGAGCCATAATCAAAACCTGCATGGTACTAAAATGGTCTAGCCAGAACATCTCAGAACCATGCAAAGAGTTAAAAAAGGCGGCTGAACCCATTTATGGTTGGGATTCTTCCTTGCAACCTTCATCTACCCGGGTGTGGAGGACGTGACTCAAGGGGGTTGGCATCTTGAAGCGGGCTTCACATAGCCCAAGTAGAATGAGGGGCCTCCCTTCGATGCTGAGGTCTCCACTTGTCGCTGCCCTTGCAATTGTCCATGAGGCGTCTTATGACGCATCTTCCGCAGAATCACGGGTTGCACCCTCAGCAAATACGACGTGTATGCACCCCTTTGAAAGCTGCAGGCAACTACTTCCGATCGAGTGGATGGGCCACAAAAAGTCTGAACTGTGTTTTACCACGAAAATGCTCCAAACCCAAAAAAAACTTCAAAGTCCAAGAACTCCTGGAGTGAGGGCAACCACCAGCCAAGCCCAAATTTCATCGTCCTCTCGAAAAGGCCTCGTGGCCACGCACCGAATTCCGCCTGCAAAATCCCCCCACTCCCCCCACTCCCCGCTCTCGCAAGCCCTCGCACGCCTGAAGGCGACTCGGGCGAACATGGCTTCGATCCTTTGGGCCCACGTTAGGCTGGAGCAAAACGGCGGACTGGCCGGGCCGCACTGAAACACGCACTGATGTGGATGGGCCGAGGAAAGAAGAAAAAGGTCGCCGGACTTCTTCTCGAGTTTACCACCTTCAAATGGTCCAAGCCCAAAAAAGGTGACTCGACTGCGAGCCCAACATGTTCCGACTTGCCACCTTCAAATGGTCCAAGCCCATTTGAAGGTCTTAAAGTGCATTGGGGGGAGCTCGGGGAGCGAGAAAATGTGGCAACGCAACCACATCCAACCACAAATGGTATATTGCGATTCAGCACAGCGGCTGCCTTGCAACTTTGTATGATCTCAGTTGCAAGTAAAGCATGCTTTGGAGGACATGACTAGTGGACCAAAATCGGAAAACCAAAGTTGAAAAGACCGACAAAGGTGAAAAGGTCGACCAGCTTTGGACAAGTGAGTAGTATGGACATCCGCCAAGGGGCTTCGGCATGGTTGAGCCATTCACGGCCGGGCACTGGACGTCGCAGCCCCACCCCCAGCCCCAGCCGGACTTGTCTGAACTTGCCGTGAAAAGACCCAGTTGGCCTTAAAAAAATCGACTGAAAGGTCTGGTTTCAAAACCCCCGGCATCTCAGCCAGCCCCACCAGTCTTCCTACCCTCCCGTCCAACATGGAAGACGCGTTTCCGACAAAAGGGACCCCTTGCGGGTGCCATGTGGACCGGAGGCGATGAGTTTTTGATTTGGGCGGCAAGCCCTTGACCCCCTCGAGGCCCGGCACCCCTTCGATCGGCCCAAGGCGACTTGGGGCCAAAGGCGAGATGGACTTCCTCTTGTCCACGGCAGCGTGGTCCTGGACGCAACGGCAAACCGCTCCCGAGTGATTTCCCCTCAAAACATCGCACCCATGCACTAAAGCTCACCTAAAAATGGGCAAACAAAAAGTGACAAAAAAAGAGGAAATATGGGGACCCCTGCCAAAGGGGTGGCGCGAAAATGCCAAGGCCGGTGGTCTTCTGAAGGGAAGATCCAACAAGACACCCACCGCTAGCTTGCGATGGAGTAAATTAGCCCCACAAAGGTTTAAACTTTGTATTTACCACTCAGATGGTCTTCCCAAAGGGAAGAGAAGTCCAGGAACTCAGGGAGTGACAAAATGTTGGAACCTTGATTTTGAGAAACGCCCATGTAGATCTGGCGGTTCCCGGAAATTAGCCATGGCTCAAGCAGTAAACTTGCAAGAGTGCTGAGAAAAAGCCTCAAGCCATTGAATTGTGGGCGCACGAAACCCGTACTTTTCGTAGGCCTCAGTAGAATGAAAAGCCATGAACAAAACACCCAAAGCCATGAACAACCATGAAAAGGGGGTAGCAACACGACGGGCTGCCTTCGATGTAACACTAGGTCCCCCAGTAGAGGTTAGAACAAGTGTACCAACTTTTTTTTCTGTAGCTTATTTCAGTAGGGGAACCCTCCCCCAAAAAAGGGGTCAAAAAGGGCACCTGGGGACCTAGAACAGGTAAGAGGCATAGCTCCCCGCCCAAGTGGAGTGGACTCGGTTTCTACCTTCTTGCCCCGGAGGCAACGCTGGTTTGGAGGTGGAGGGGCTTCCGGCCCATCCAGGGCTCCGTTTCTTTTTTTTAAACATAAAACCCAGGGGTGGTTGACTTCCCCAAAAGGGAAACAGCTGGGTTTAAGTCTACCTTTGGGGTAGTCAAATGGAACCCTGGTCCCATCCCTTTGCCAAAAATGGGCCAAACGAGGCCAGGGCTTAGCTGGGATCGGCTTCTAGTTGGTGGCTTCGATCGGAGGATTGGTGGTTAGGGGATGGTTTCCGCCTACAAGAACCAGGGCTTCAAATCCCAAACCAATCCAAACCACCAAGTTTCCGAGACTATGATTGTACCAGAATCCAGCGGTATATTTGAAGGCATCAACCACGCAAAAAAATAAAGGCACACCCTTGTATTTCAGGGCTCTGGGATACCTGGGCGATCCATACCGGCGACTCTCGGGTTCGTCTTTGTTGCAGGTAGCCCCTTTTTGAGGAATCTTTGAGGGAACCAACAGGATTAAACAGCCTTCTTTTTTAGCGGGTGGGTGGGTGGGTGGGCGGGATTCCGGAAAAAAGCCCCAAAAGAAAGACAGTGCGAGCCCTTTTTGGTGGCTTTAAAGGGAGAGAAAAAAGGAAAACCCATCATATGGCCATGGGTCAAAATCCAAATCGTCCCCCCAGTTAAAACCATCCCAATCCAACCACTAAACTAGGAAACCTAAAATGGGTGGTGAATTCACCCAATCCAACCAAAATGGTATCAACCAAAACGGTTTCGACCACCACGGCCATATTTTGTTGTTTTTGTTGAGGGCCAAAAGAAAGACCTCCAACTTCTAGAGGTGCCATTTCCATTTCCATTCTAAACGCAGGGATCCGATCCTTTCCAGAAAACCTCCGGCAAACCCAGGGAAAACCTATCTGGTTTGTTGGAAAGAACGATGAGGTGGTTGAAAAGAATGGACAAGGACTCAACCCCCAGAACATGTACTCCCCTGCAAGTCAACATGAAACCCAAGGGACTCCCCCAAGAGTTTCCTCTCCAAATTGGCCATTTTCTTCTGGGTTCCATGTTAGTTTGTACGGGTTCGGATCCCCAAAAGAAAGACACCCAATTGGACAGTGCGCTTGCTTCATCGTTGCTCCCTGCGACGCGGGCCTCGAAACGCCAAAAGGTCGGCACGAATGCGTGCTGAGCGGGGAATGAAACTTAGATCTCATGGATCTGGGGTAATTACTCTAAGAAATCCAGACCAAATCAGTCTTTCTGTTCTTGCTTGGGGTGTGGCAAATTTGTGGATCCACCCCTGTAGAGTATGAATAAGAGTACTCAAAGATTCCTAAAAAGGAGCAACAAGGGAAAAATGTGAAAACCACCAAAAAAAACGGATCCAGACCGTTTTCTAGATTCTTAGAGAGCCTTGGGTGAGCGTGTTCTGAGCTTGGATAACTTGAGATGGATCCCCGATCTTGTGTTCGGCTGGTTTCGTGGGGAAGACCAAATGAACACCTCCATTCCCGAGCAGATTGGCCAGACATATCTACCCCCAAAACGGCCTTCCACCCAAAAACTGCAAAACAAAACAAAAACATGCCACACAAGTCCCAGCACAACATCCGGATATATGAGTCTTGAGGCGTTTTTCGGCGCTTTTTTTTTGGGGGCGCCGACTTCTCCAAAGCTCTCGGGAAACTTTTCCCCGGGGGGCCCGCTCCTTCCGCGGCGGCGGGAGCCGCGGGAGGCGGCCTCGAGTCGGCTTCGGGTGCGACGTCGAAAATTCTCGGCGCACGCCTTGAAAGTCACTTTCCTTCGGTAGTCTATTTTAGTAGGGGAGCCCTCCCCCCAAAAAAGTTGGTAAAATTTGGCACTACTGGGGGACCTTGAATCCTTTCTTGGGGGCATTACAGGGCTGGGAAGGGAATCCACGAATCTGTAAGTCTCCTTCTGACCCGAATCGAAAATGGGTCATTGACCAACCATGATTTTGGGGAATGACCCACCATTTTTTAAGGGTCAGAAGGAGACTCCAGGCACTTCTGTGATACAAAAGGGCTTCCCAAAGACTACTTTCCTCATAAGGGTGTTAACTTGCGCGAGGTCCCGGGGAATAGTTTGCAGAAGCGTTCCAAGGGCTTCAGAAAAAATAGCGCACACCACCACTCTTCCAGTGCCTCAAGCAGCTCAGATTACGTTGTTGCAACCAAAAAACACAAAGGCTTTCAACCGGTAACCCCACACGCCAAGACCGCTTGGACCATGCCACAGCATGCCGTTTCAATGCTATCCGGGCCAATCAAGCCTTGTGCCAGCAAAACACACGCCAAACAAGGACTCCAAATCTCTGTCAAAACATGCGGACATACCTTAGCAAGCTTGTCTCGGGAAGCGCTGCTCCCATTTGCTCCGAGCAGTGTTCCGGAATAGGGTAATGCAAGTGACTACATTACGATGGCGCAGCCCTTTTCCTTGGGGAGTTGCAGATTTCTGAGGATAATGCTCGCTTGTAAGTTCGCCTTCAGGTTTCCAAAAATATGGATGAGTTTGGAATGTGCCCCAATTTTAGGCTTGCTTTTCTCCACGTCTTAGCCTGAGCTTGGAGATGTTCCAAGCTCTCCAAACTTAAGCTCGCTTTCTCCTAACTCAGCCCTGAGAAATCAATTTGGGGGTCCCTAAAGTTGGCCTTTACTCAGCCTGAGTTTCGAGATTTGCCGAACTTAGTCTTGTCTATATTGACCAAACAAAACCCTTGTTTGACCCGTTCAACCATCGAAAAGCGGATAGTCGCCACCAATACATTTGCGAAACGCGTCTTCGCACGCAAAGCCAGGCGAGTTTGCAAAGCCTGAGCGTGAAGATTATCCAAACTCAAGCCGACTTTGGAGAAAACAGCCCTGCCTGAGTTTGGAGAATCATCTCAAGCTCGGGCCGAGTTTGGAGAAACGAACTGAGTTTGGAGAATCTCCAAACGCAGGCCCCAGTTTGCAGAAAATGGGCCTGAGTTTGAAGAAGACTTGTCAGTCCTGGTTAATCCAAACTCTTTGTACGAAGCCAAGAAGCTTTCTGAGTTGGAAAATGGAGGAACAGGGCCCGAGGTTGGAGAACTTCTTAACTGAACCTGAGTTTGCAGAAAACAAGCCTGACTTTGAAGAATCCGCAAACTCAGCCCGAGTTTTGAGAAAACAGGCCCGAGTTCGGAGAATCTCCAAACTCACCCCGATTTTGGAGAAAACGGGCCTACGTTTGGAGAATTTTCAAACTCACGCCGATTTGGGAGAAAACGGGCCCGAGTTCGGAGAATCTCCAAACGCACCCCGAGTTTGGAGAAAACGGGCCCGAGTTCGGAGAATCTCCAAACTCAGAGTTTGGACTCAGAGTTTGGAGAAAACGGGCCTAAGTTTGGAGAATCGCCAAACTCACCCCGAGTTTGGCGAAAACGGGCCCGAGTTTGGAGAATCTCCAAACTCACCCCGAGTTTGGAGAAAATGGGCCCGAGTTCGGAGAATCTCCAAACTCAGGCCCGTTTTCTCCAAACTCATTTTGTGAAACACGCGAAGAAGCGTTCGGCAAGTGTTTTGGTGGAGAAAATAAGCGTTCGGATGGAGATTTTCAGGCAACATAAGCGTTCTGTAGGAGAAAAACACATTGAAATTTGGAGTTTGGAGAATCTCCAAACTCAGCCCGAGGTTGGAGAAAACGGGCCCGAGCTTGGAGAATCTCCAAACTCAGGCCCGTTTTCTCCAAACTCGGGCCCGAGCTTGGAGAATCTCAGAATCTCCTAGCGCACCCGAGTTTGGAGGAAATGGGCCGGCGTTTGGAGCATCTCCAAACTGAGTTTGGAGAATGTCCGAACTATCTCCGAACTGAGTTTGGAGAATCTCCGAACGTTTGGAGAGAATCTGTCCGAGATTGGGGAATTTCCAAACTCATCCCGAGTTTGGAGAAAACGGGCCTGAGTTTGGAGAATCTCCAAACTCGAGCCCTTTTTCTCCAAACTCGGGCCCGAGTTTGCCAAAATTCGATACTCAGTTCGAGTTTGGAGAATCTCCAACCTCAGGTCCGTTTTCTCCAACCTCGGGCGGTGCGCTTGAAAATTCTCCAAGCTCGGGCCCGAGTTTGGAGAAAACATGCCTGGCTTTCGAGATTCTCGAAACTCGGGCCTGAGTTTTTGGAGAACACATGCCTCAGTTTAGAGAATCTGCAAAGTCATCCACGGTTTGGAGAAAACGGGCTGAGTTAGAGAAAAATAAGGCTGAATTTGGAGAAAAGGAGCCTGACTTTAAAGAGTGACCCCAATGGGCCTGAGTTGGGGGAAAACGGGCCTGGGTTTGGCAACTCGGACCCGAATTTGGAAATCTTCAAACTCGTGCCTGAGTTTCTCCAAACTCAGGTTGAGTTGGGAGAAATTGGCTAGAGGCTAGAGTTTGGAGATTACGAGCCTGAGTTTGGAGTATCTCCAAACTGCCCTCACTGAGTTTGGAGACAACGGGCCATAGTTCGGAGATTCTCCAATCGCAGCAGCCCGAGTTTGGAGAAACGGTCAAAGTTTGAAATTGGTTGGAACTTAGCGGACTCAGTTCGAAGAAAAAAAGACCCGAGGAGTCGTGAGTCTTGACATGTTTGCTGCTGCCTCCTATCACCCATCTCGGTGATGAGATCGGAGACTGGGACTGTTTGCACCCAACGCGGCACACTCATGCCCCCCTATTCTCAGAACTCTTCCAATTTACGGGGTCTCAACATATGAACCGAGTTTCTTCATATGGCGCTACGGGTGCGCAGAAACTGACGTTAGCCCAACTTTGTTCAATTTCAACTTGGGTTTGGAAAGTCCTCGGTTCCCGACCTTGTTGCAAGGCCTTGTCACAGCAAGAAGCGTTCCGGGCTTCCAACAACGGTTGTGAGCACAGGCTGCAGAAACGAAACGTGTTTGATCAAACTGGGGCATGAACACGACAGCTCACTTGGGGGCTGCCATTGCCCCAAGTGAGCCGCCGTTTTCATGCCCCAGTTTGATCGAGAGCGCTTCGTTCCTGCAACCTGCACTCGCAGCCGTTTTGGGAAGCGTGGAACGCTTCTTGCTGTGGATTGCAAAAAAGGCCTGAGCTCGTGCAAGTTAACACATAAGGGGGAGATTCCCGAACGTATCACAGAAGTGGGGATAAACCCCTTGATCCCACAACCCTGCTTTCCTTGGTTGGCCCCAGAAGAAAAGTCCACAAAAGTTCGAGTTGCCGCCAAAGTGATCTTCCCACTAAAAAGTGACTCTGTAGGTCCTCCAGTAGAGACTCGTTAGAGTAAGGGTACCCGATTTTTTCTGCAGTCTATTGTAGTAGGAACAACCCTCCCCCAAACAAGGGGCAAACAAGGGGTTAACAATGGCACCTAGCTGCAAAACCTAGTCAAGGGTCGATCGTTTTTGTGCAGAGTCTCTTGTTGTCAAACCTGGTACCTGGAGGAGATTGGGCTGCCAGGTACCCTTTTTACAGGTGCCTTCCGTTTGCTGGAGAGGGTCCCCCCCCACGAAAAAGTAATGCAGACCCTTTATAGAATCCTTTCTTCCATCCCCGCCGAACTGATCAACTGGTGGTAATCAGGGTCTAAGATGGGTTCCACTGCCCCCAAACCACCCGCAGAGAAAATTTGGGATCTATACACTTTATGGTGTCTGGTGGCTGTGCACCAGCCAAGTATTTTTTAGAGGTCAGTGGCTTGGGAGAAGTGGAAACACCCCCTCTCCATCTGAAAATTCACCAAGGACGACCCTCCCGCCTTTTTTTTTGGCACCGCAGAGGTCGCGAAAGAAGAAACACATTTCTCGGATCTTGCAGGGCCTTTCAGGTGCCATGGTCACGTGAGATACTTGGCTAGTCCTCCAGTAGAGAGGTTGGAACAAGGGTACCAACCTGTTTTTTCTGTAGTCTATTTTAGCAGGGCCCCAAAAAAGGGTAAAAGGGCACTACTGGGGCACCTAGTTGGACAACAGTGTCAAACTCAAAAATGGCCCAAGGTAGGAGCTCTTGCCTGGGCTGTTTCTCAGATCCCCCCGCGAAAAAAAAGTTGACGACTTTGAGTGGGTGACATGGAAAATCCCCACTGAACCCTGCTACAACCACCAAAGTCACCAAAAACCTAAGGAGACGGCACGGCTGGGAACCGCCCGCATTGCCGCATGGCAAGGCTTGGGCTTTCCTGTTGGTGTCCCTTTAAAACCAGGGGGACCTCCGAAAAACACCCCCATTGGATGTCTGGGGTGTCTTAAAATAGGAATCTATCACCCCGCCGCCCCAACATGGATTCTGTGTTCGGCTTTTGGCAGGTTTTCCTTTTAAACCGCCAACCAAGAAGGGTTCCCTCAAAGACAAGATCACTTGCAATGACCCCCTTTGCGAAACTCACCAGCAAGATGTTTTTCAACACTACGGCATCAAGTTGACGGAACTCGAGACCATCGCCTCACCAACATATCGATTGCCCTTTAAGAGGAAATGAGCTCGCGATGCGACCGGAAGAGAAGCATCTTCACTCTGACCGGGCCCAGCAAAAGAAATGCGGTACTTGGACACCCTCCAATCCAAGGTAAGGATTTCAATCGGGGGACCTGTGGTGGACATCACTTGCGCGGGAATCCAATTTCAGGTCAATCAACCATCTTTGAGAGGAGTCCGCACGAAAAGTCAACTCCCTTGAGGTGATTGGAAGGTAAAGAGAGCAAATCAACAAAGAACGAAAAGAAAACCACATGACCATGACCATTGGTTTTCAAGGTTGTTCCCACAAATGTCGCGAGAATCAAACAAAAAGTACTCTTAATAGGGGGTGTGCCTGGGTTTAGTGCGGAATCATCACTTTTGAAGGGGACCACATCCCCCATGCTTGGAAAAGGTTTATTTATCCGGGGTCTATAATTCTTAATTCGGGTATGGCTCAAGATCGAACCACCAGGGACCACAGGTTCTTTTTCCTTGTTTCCATTTTACCTGGGCTTCATGCTGGGTACCCAATTGTGACTCACCCAGTTGGGTCTGTCTTTTTTCTGGGGCACGCCTTTTATGGTCGTTTGAAGGGGGAACCAAAGGAACACACGACAGTCGTTTTGGAGAGGTCTCTTAAAATAGACACCCTGAACCCTCCAAGGGTGGTCCATTTGTATCAGTGCTCTTGTGTGAGCCATTTTGGGTACAAATGGACCACCCTTGGAGGATACTGGGCCATCTTGATTTTTGATTGGATATTCCAAGAAAAAAAAAAGAAAAACACGCACACACACACACAAAAAAAAACACAAAAGCACACACACACACAAAAACACACACACAAACACACACACACACACACACACACACACACACACACACACACACACACACACACACACACACACACACACACACACACACACACACACACACACACACACACACACACACACACACACACACACACACACACACACACACACACACACACACACACACACACACACACACACACACACACACACACACACACACACACACACACACACACACACACACACACACACACACACACACACACACACACACACACACACACACACACACACACACACACACACACACACACACACACACACACACACACACACACACACACACACACACACACACACACACACACACACACACACACACACACACACACACACACACACACACACACACACACACACACACACACACACACACACACACACACACACACACACACACACACACACACACACACACACACACACACAACACACACACACACACACACACACACACACACACACACACACACACACACACACACACACACACACACACACACACACACACACACACACACACACACACACACACACACACACACACACACACACACACACACACACACACACACACACACACACACACACACACACACACACACACACACACACACACACACACACACACACACACACACACACACACACACACACACACACACACACACACACACAAACACACACACAAACACAAACACAAACACACACACACACACACACACATCCGACCCAGTTGCTCTCCCAACCGGGAGAGAAAGCTCTCCAGGCCCCGCGCAGTCATCCTCCTCTTCTGCGTCCTCGTGGCGCCGGTGGTTCCTCTCCTGACCTCATCGGCATCAGGCGTGAGCTGCAAGCGGGGTCCAATTTTTGCACCCGAAGCCTCTGTTTGAGGCTCGGTACCCTCCCACCAATTAACATGGAACCTGACAGGGGGTCCCTTCAACAGGAAAATGGTGTTTCAGGCCCTTTTTGTGAGGTTCTAATTAATTGGTGGGAGGGTACCCCCTTTTTGGAGTAGGTTTAAAAAGCAAACTAAACGGAAACTCACTTTTTTGTTCAAAGCCCTTAAGCGTCATTGGACCCTCCATTCAGAACTGCCTGCTTAAGGGGATCCGTTCCATCAGCCAAATGGCGGGACATGTATACCCCACAAGCTCACACGAAGGTTATGAAGGTTGACCAAGGGAGTCCATTCTGAAAATCCTTGCGGATAGCCTCCCACATGGAACCACCAGATATGCAGGAAAACACTCTTGGAACCCCCGAACCACGTAGCCTAACACTTGAACTCAGAACTCCACTCCATGGTGATATTTTTGGGTGTGGGTCAAAAATCAACCACCACAAAACAAAAACAAAAACGCAGGTTTCTTGTCTTTGGTCCCATCTAAAACCAGGGTACCCCCTTTTTATTTCTGCAATCTGCGCCAGTCAGCTGTGAGCTCATGAGTCACTCGCTCAAAACCCGGTATTAAAATTCGGTCCAAGCCCAGAACCATGCTTCAAGAATTAAGAAGGCGGAAATCCGCAAGTATTCCTGCACCGCGGGATGGCCGCCCGTTCCTTTCCCCGTTCACGAGCGCACCTAGGTCCTCCAGTAGAGACTCGTTAGAATATGGGTACCAACTTTTTCCTGTAGTCGATTTTAGTAGGGGAACCCTGCAACCAAAAAAGGGGGTGAGAAAGGGCACCTAGCTGGGGGACCTAGGTACCTAAGACATGGCTTCTGGGTGCCGGGTGAAGTCGCCGCGAAAGGGCGGCGTGGATACGTCGAGAAGCTCCACTGATTGAGGGTCTGGAGTCTGAAGCATGAATCTCTTGCTTGCCAGCGTATTCCCAGCATCAAGCCAAACAACTATGATGTGGGACTCGGGCCCGCCTTGTTATTGGGGCCGCTTTGGTAGAAAATGTTTTTCCTGATTCAATAAAGGTATAATAAAGCAGACAAAACAAATCCGGGCAAACAAATCAGGGCAAACATTAGGAATTCCTTTCCTTTCTCTACAAAAAAGAAATGGAAACAGTCACACAAAGAAAATTGCCCACAAGAGGCCCTGATTCGATTTAGTGTGACTGTTTCGGGGGTCGCTTTAGGTGTCGGAAATCTGAGAGTAAGTCTTGGACAGACCAAATTAACAATTGGAAATAGTGTCAAACATCGAACCTAGGCTCCCAGGTTTTCCACTAAAGAGACCCTCGGTGACGGGGTGATGGGGGGGGCCTGCTTCGCACCCGATGGTATGGATAAAAACCTAACTGACAAACCCCCCTGCCGTGTAGATCGGCCAAAACAAGTCTGAACTTGCTGTTCGCCACTAAAACGGTCTTCCCAAAAAGTAGCAAGTCCTGACACTCGGGGGAAGTAGCACCAATCCCAACTGCCGCGTTCCTTGTCGCTCCCCAAAAGACTTCACCGCCCGACCGCTCGAGCGAGCCGCGGGTTCGGTTGGCCGACACCATGCGCGCGAACTCCGTGCTGAACCTCGGGGACCACGGGCTCGTTCCGTCGGCACGGGTTCCGTCGGCACGTCCGTTTCAGTGGGGTCAAGTCGGTTCCAAGCCGTGCGGGGATTTACCTCTCTCCATGACCCGAATCACAAATGGGTCATTGACCAACCATTATTTTGGGTAATGACCAACCATTTTTTAAGGGTCATGGAGACTCTAGGTAGGTCAAAACCAGGGAACCATTCGCGTTGTTTGGTTCTTTTTTCTACAGGGCTTTGTGGTGGCGGTCCTTAAAGGGTTACTTGGTGTCGGTGTTGTAAGGGAAAACCAAAGGAAAACCAGACCCCTAAAAAGAAGACAGACCTATTCCAAGGATTTGTTCATGAGCCTTTTGCCCAAAACTGGAATTCCTGGTTTTGACGTGCTCTTTTGAGGCTATGCCCAGACTTGCTGCCACAACCATAGGGGATTTCGCCCTCCAAACTTGCTGCACCCAAGTTGAACGACGGAGATCCGAAAAAAGCAGCTCAGGTGAAGCAGCCTGCCCCTCTGGAATAAATGATAGGGTGTCTGCTGCTCAGGAGTACGGCGGCAAGCTTGCAACATCATTCTTTGCGGTCGGACAGTTCATCCATGTGTTTAATATCAATCAGTTTGGTCACTGGTGACAAGTCTTTTCCAGGATAAACAACCCAGTTCTAGACCTATGCTTTTGCTTCTGTCTGTTGCTATTGTCCAAAATATGTTTTTATCTCCAGCCGCGACAATCAAATCAACCTCGGCTGCAAATGAACTCCAAACAAACTTGCGAGACTTGACCCACCACACATGAGCTCTCTCGCTGAGGTGCTTACACAGCAGCTTGCGCGATCACTCATGTTGCTGCGCTTGCGTAGCCCGCTTATGCCGCCTTACACCGCCACATGCGTGCCTTGAGCAGGGCCCTTATGACCACCCCCTTCAATCGCTCAAATATGGAAGCGGCAAGCAGAAAACCTTTGTCCTGGGTGACGTCCTTTTATCCTGCCGCTGCACTTCGCCCAAACATAGCTGCCAAACGCGCATACAGCCTTGACCGGTTTGAAATCACGTCAAGGCTTGTTGCGTGACCAACATGGCACTGCGGCCAGCCAAGCTTCAGCTTGCCCTGCGACCAAAAGGAAATCAACAGTTGGACGACATGGAACTGCTACAAATCTACCACACTTCCCAAAAATAAAAAATGAAATCAGAAATCTCCGAGTAAAACTTCACGGTAAAACACAATCTTTTTGGGATCCCCAAGTAAACAAAGCATGGTAAGCTCGCCAAAAAACCCTGCTGCGTTTAGAGCGCAGATGGATCCAATCCGACCGAATCGCTTCTTTCCGACCGGGGGCCCGGCTGGGAGCCGATGATGCCGATCGGCAGCCTGGCCAGGCAATTGGGGTGGGGGGGATCCAAGAAGCATCACTGCAGATGGACAAAATCCATTTCGCACCACCTAAGGAACCAAGGCATATATAGCAGAATAATAGTAAACAAACATTGTATGACAGACTTAATTTGCATTGTCTCTCCAAGAAGTATATTATTAGGAAGAATTGCAAACTTTATCAACCAAGAACTTTACGAGAATGGGACCTAAGAAACCTGATTTCTGACCAACAATGGTTTCCCATGGCTTCAAAGTTGTGAAGGAGTTCGTCCATCCACAGTACGGGAAACAAAGAACACCTGTTTTGACATTGGACCAACCTGCCTCGAAAACTGTAAATGTGTCGTGCCCTCTTGGAAACATCGTGGGTTCAGGGGTATGTCACGAAAACATCGAGTTGAAAAACATCGGGCATGACATGTTCAGAGGTTGCTGGGTCTCCTGGAAAAGGGAACCCAAGGAAACCAAAAGAAAACCCAAACTGCAAAGCACAGAACAAAGAACTTCCGAGCAAATCAAAACGCAATCAAACAAAACTCAGCAGGAAGCCGCTGGCAAGGATCTCCCATTCAGATACCAAGCCGTGGCGTCCAAGGAGAGGTTGCTGAGTGCGTGTCTCCACACCAGGGTAAACCGTGACCCTCTGAAGGGAAACTTACAGAAGATTGTTTAATCAAAGGAGGCAACAGGCTTACAAGGGTCGAACCGCCGCCCCTGCTCCACACTGCGGATTGAAAGTGGCGCGTGTCCGTTGGGGCTGTTGCTTCGACTTGGCAAGTGGTTTCATTCTCAAGGGGGAGGAAATTATCTGCGTTCGCCTACCATCCAAACAGCAAGTTCCGCCCTCCTATTGGTCAATGGACTTGCTTTCAACAGAGGCACTCTCCATGGGCCATCCGCCCAAAGTGAAACATGCGATGTGGTCATGGTCACTGATGCTTGTGTTTGCGTTTCTATCCACCTTTGCCTTTGGGTTTGCACGTGCAGCGTGTGTGTCTGTGTCTGTTTGAGCGGGTGGGCGGCCCCCTCGTTCCAGACCCGCGTGTGTGCGCGTGCGCATATGCATGCACGTGCGATGCGTTGCGTTGGGTTTTGTTTTGTTGTGTGGGGCGTTTTGAGGCTGGTTTGGTCCAAAGACCCAAATGAGTCACAATCAAAACCTGGTACAAAAATGGTGAACCCAGAACCATGTAAGGAATTGAAGAGGCGGCCGCATCTATTGCCGGCTGGGACTGCCCCTTACCTTCATCTACACGGGTTTTGATTGTGAGCTCTTGGGGGGGGGCCACAAGTCAGCCCTGGTTGTTGGGACCGGTGAAACACAGGGAGACAAGCCCCTCTCGATCCACACGTCGCACGGGATTTTGATAAACCCAGTTGCAACCAGTGTCCCTGGTTGGAAAAAGGGAGCACCAAGCACAAAGGGGAGAAGGGTGCCACTGAACAACCGGGTCAATGACCCAAACTCACTATCTGCTAGGTGCACAGGCATGACGCTACGCAGGCGACTGATGCACCACGCATCAAACTGTCAAACCAACCGCAACTCGTCGGCTCAGCTCGACAACTAATAGTATCGCCCCCGCTTCGTCTACAATGACTGACGGATCCCAAAAAGTCACTCAAACAAGCGGGGCCGTACCGGGTGGACGCCCTTTGAAAACCGGGAGCCCGTTTTTCGGCGGGTCGTTTCACACGGGGTCATGTTGGGGGGTGGTTTCGCCGAATGGAAATGTAGGCACTCCCTCAAATCTTCCGCCAAGGGGCCATATTGTTCGGAAGCCCCCAGGCTGCCTGAACTTGGGTACCCCCTGTTCAAAATGGCTTTTAAGCGACACCAAAAGTTGAAAACGGCGCTTTGACTTAGACCTGAGACGCTTCCAAAGACTGCCGGCTTGGCCCAAGCAGCACCGTGCCGTAGAGGATGGCAACAGCCCCGACCATCTCGCAAGTTGCAGTTGCATGGCTTCCATGCTGCTCGTGATCCATGGTGATACTGATGGACAAACCCATCTCGCGCCAGTTGGGCTAGGTGTTTTATCAGCCAGCAAACAAAAGGGGGCTTCATCCATGGTTCCCAAGCGCCAAGCTTGCGGCAAGCGAACATAAAAGATGTCTCTTTCGGTAGGGATTCTTCCCCAACATTCCTGCCCGGTGTGCCTTCGGTGTCCCTTCAAGACCCAGCAAATGTCACCCTCGCACACACACACACACACACACACACACACACACACACACACACACACACACACGCACACGCACACGCACACGCACACGCACACGCACACGCACACGCACACGCACACGCACACGCACACGCACACGCACACGCACACGCACACGCACACGCACACGCACACGCACACGCACACGCACACGCACACGCACACGCACACGCACACGCACACGCACACGCACACGCACACGCACACGCACACGCACACGCACACGCACACGCACACGCACACGCACACGCACACGCACACGCACACGCACACGCACACGCACACGCACACGCACACGCACACGCACACGCACACGCACACGCACACGCACACGCACACGCACACGCACACGCACACGCACACGCACACGCACACGCACACGCACACGCACACGCACACGCACACGCACACGCACACGCACACGCACACGCACACGCACACGCACACGCACACGCACACGCACACGCACACGCACACGCACACGCACACGCACACGCACACGCACACGCACACGCACACGCACGCGCACACGCACACGCACGCGCACGCGCACGCGCACACACACACACACACACACACACACACACACACACACACACACACACCTGGAGTCTTTATGCATGACCCTTAAAAAACGGGGTCATTACCCAAAATAATGGTTGGTCAACGGCCCATTTTTAAAGGGTCATGGAGACTCTAGGCACACACATCACAGACTGGAGCTGAGACTCTCGTCACCCCGTAGCGCCCCCTCCGCCTTGCCGCCGATGGTCACAGGCACATGGTCCTTGAGTCGCGCTAACTGGGCTCAGCGCATGGATTTGGCTGGCGCCACCCTGAGAATGGACGTCTAACATGTGCTCTCCGCCTTCACTTGGTCGACGTTGGCAGGGGAGCACAAAATTTAAATTTTAGCAGTCAAGTGGGGATTTCCCACTAAACCACAATAAGCAAACATGCAAAATGCTTCCCAACAACAAGGCGCTCCCGGCAATGGTTGGTTTCATGTTGGGATTCCGGCAACCATCCCAAAGCGCAGCCCCTCTTGACACATCCCAAGAGGCGGCAGGAGGGTACTCATTTTTCTAAGCCGCCTGAGAGTCGGAACGCAGCACTTGGCCATTGAAATGACTCACCGTACTTTCCTGAAGCATTTCTGCCCCCAACCAAAATTCGAAGCATGGCGCGCCTTGCTCTACCCTCGGGTGGCCCAACCCTCCAACCCTCCAACCAAGGCACGCCATAGCCCACTGTCGTGATCGTCGCCTGGCGGGGGAGCCATGTTGCCAAAAAACCCACGCAGAAACTGAGACACTTGGCCCCCATTCGGACCATTATCACTCCAAATGCACCTTCCAGGATTCCAGCGCACGCAAGCAAAGCTTCAACAAGGGCCATATTCACCTGACACAACGGATGGAGGAACATGCGCTCTCCACTTCGTGCTGCGACCCAAAAGGATCATGAAGTCCTCCTATCAAACATGAAGATTCTTGGTATCCGAAAGTGGCACAGCTGTAGAATGCCGGAAGCCGTTGCTTTCACGCACGGCATGTGCTCCTGTCCGGCGCCCTTTGGGCGAAAAAAACAGAAAAAAGACGGCTAAAAGCTTCGAGTCAGCCCTGTTTTGAGGAAACTCAGGGTCGCACCAGCCCCAGTTCACTCCAAAAGTCGAGCCTGTTACAGACAAACCATTTGCCATTGGGGCCTTGAGGGAGGCAACTGTCAAGCGGCTATTTCAGGTAACATGGAACCAGACGTTGCGGGGTGCACACACGATTTTTCCATAAAAGAGACCCTGTCATAGGTTCCATGTTAGTGGACACGAGGCTGGCTTTGACACAACGTTGATCGGCCCACGGTGTCAGCACATGCGCATCGCTGATCCTTTTCCTTTCTGCTGACTCCACGCGCTTGTGATCTTGCTGCAAAAGCGAGAGACCAAAAGCCGCAAGGCTGCTGTGACAGTGACGTGGGTCAAGCTCATAAGGCATTCGAAATTCAGTACACCTCCCATAGACAGCCCCTTCCTGTCTGTCCCAGGGGACTGAGCGCGAAATGGGGGGAGGCTGCCCCTGGGCGGTCTCCGACTCTCCCCGAGGAAAAAGCATGCACGGCGCCGGAAGCTTGGTGTTCCAGCCAACAAAAATGGACCAAAGGCCCACTTACACAGGTGGCCTCACAGTGGGGTCCTTTTCTTCATCTGTGGCTCTTCAAGGCCAAAAGGACAAAAGGACCAAGCGTTTGTCCACCAAAAGTGCGTCATCGTGTCAGTCAGGGATTGACTCTGCAGACTCGCAGACTCGGCGGGTCCCCGGCGAGTCTGCCATTGGCGAATTCGCCAACAGCGTCCCACCCTTCAAGACTACCACCTTTTTTTAAACCCCCTCCCCCGCTTTTTCACTTTGATTGGAACAAGACCACGCTGTTTTTGCCTCTTACATGATTGAAACACTAAGAAGCGAAAAGGCTAAGGAACCGGATGGCTGGGAGCCACCAAGACTTGCCTCTTCTTTCCAGAGAGAAGGGGCCCGAGACGATGGGGTCCGAAATGCGCTCAGGCCACCTTCTCCGGCTCCGCGTCCACCTGAACCTCGCTCAATGCGAACATGGCCCCTCGCGCAACCGGAACTCCGAGCGAGTCATGCGCGGCCCGCCCAAAAAAAACGCGGTCTCACATAAGAAAATACAGGGGGAAGCAAACAAATCGACCCCACCTTCGCCCTCGACACCTCAAGCCGGCAAGGCCCTCTCAAGATGTGATGAGCGGAGAAAACCGATGGTTGGGTTAGTGCACATCACCCCTCGTCTTCGGAAAAGCATGGCGAATCACCCGGATCGATAGAGGGATGAATACCAGTGTTTCAAGATTTCTCAACAAACGGCTCTTCTTGGGACCGCATGAATCCAGACCCCAAACCCATTTTGACGAAATGCCCCCTGATTCTGGAAACAAAATAGCGCATGAGAAAGATTCCTCCAGGCCAGGCTCCCTTTCACTGTCTCTACGGCAAAAACAGGCCGTATTTTCCCCCTTTTTAACGAGCACCCTTCAGCCCGGAACGCCCTTCAAACTTCCCGTTCTACAGCGAAAAGGCCCCCCTTCCCCTGTTTTTTTTCAACGGGCGCGGCCCGGAAAACGCCTTCAGCCTGAATTCAGCCCCTCCCCGGCGCCCGGGATTTCTCTTCCGGGGAAGAGGCCACCAGCTCGGGCTCCTCCAGCTCCGTCGGCGGCGCCTCGCTCTCCTGGCGCGAAGCCCCGGGGCCCGGTGGGCCTCGGTTTGCCCCCCCCCCACGGCCGCGGGTACGAGTACGACGAGGCGCGGAAAACGGAAGACGTGGGGGGTGGCGTAGTTTTCTTGGGAGGACCTCCTTTTTGCATGTGGTACCGGCCAAGGGTGGCTTCACAGAAGAGCACTGGCGCAAATGGACCACCCTTGGAGGGTTCAGGTGGGTGAAGTCCTTTTTTAGAGGCCTCCTCTTGGGATCGGGAGACCAACTCACTTCTGATTGAGACAGGCAAACAGTGCACGAACTTCTTATGTGCACATTAAAATAGTCTATCCAAACAGCTTACGTAAAGTCCATGAACTCAGGGAGTGAGAAGGAGTTGCCATAGTAAGACCAGGCTAGTGACTTGCGAAGCACTGAGAGAAACATTGACGAATTGAGAACAACACGCGGGAAGCGAGAGCAAACAAATGATGGAGGACGACACATCCTCGAATCTTTAGATTGCATTGCTAACTAACCAAACCCAGCCAAAACACACAGATGGAAAAGGGCCCAATTTGCCAAAGCAAGCACTCGAGGAGGGCCCAATTTCGCCAAAGCAAGCACTCGAAGAGACAGAGCAAGGCGAAAGCTGTGCTTCTCAGGGAGACTTGGAAGCGGATGCCCACATGTGCTTGCTTCACAAACCACGGTCGAGTTTGACAAACCCTGGTTTGTCTGCTTCTGAGTGTTGATCGCAAGAACAATGTGTGGCCATGACTTCCCCACATGAATCACATGAAAGCACCAAAGTTGAAGGTGAGGGGCCATGACCGCGTGACCGCGTGCGCTAGGCTTCGCCAACAAGCAAGCAAGCCAGCCAGCCAGCCAGCAAGCAAGCGAGCGAGCGAGCGAGCGAGCAAGCGAACAAGCGAACAAGCAAGCAAACGAACGGAGTAAACAAAGGCAAGCCAACACATGGTGATACAATAACAAGGGCTTCCCACAGACGAACCCCCCATAAAAAGGGCTAGATGTTCCCTTGTATCACAGAAGTAGTTGGATCAACTAACCCCTTGAGCTCCACCGTCCCACCCGCTCTGCCCTGCGGACTCGCGGACTCCTTGACCACCTCGCTCTCCTCAAGGAGCTTGGCCCACTGGGCGCAGTAGCAGCTGTTCTTGCAGTTCACCCACTTCATGCACTGCCGCTTCTGCGGCTTGCCATAGCCTCCAGCTGACTTCGATGTATTGTTTTTCTTTGGTGTGTGCGGTGGATGGACGAGAAATCCGAAAAACCCGAAATCTCGCACCATGATAATGAGGGCCGTGGGAAACCATAAGGTTTGTGGGCTTTTGCAGGGGAAGCATCGGAAACCTGAGTTCTTACTTGGGCATTTACAGGGGAATCGCATCATTCCGGGGTACTTTCAGGTGGTACTTTCAGCGGATTTCGTGCATGCATAGTAGTTCTTCGCTGCCGGGCAGGGATGCGGATGGGACTTTTGGGTGGGGAAACAGAGCCTCACTTTGCATTGGCAACCACAAGGTGAGGTGTTAAGCCACCCCTTGAAGGGGACATACTGTGGATGGACGAAATCCTGCGCCACTTGGAAACCATGGTTGAAACCATTGCTTCTTGGTATTTACAGGGGGAATCGTATCATTCCAGGGTTTCTCAGCTGGCGCGAAATGGATATCGTCCATCCACAGTATGAACAGGAGGGTGTCCTTGGGTGAACTGCGAGGATTCGGGCCACTTTTGGAGGGGAACACCTGCTAATTGTTCTTCCCAAAAGGTTCAAGTTCATGAACTCAGCACGATTAGAGTTGGGCCCAGTTCTAGAATGTATATATATATATTGTTTGCTTCACTTTAAGTCACTGGAAAAATGAAAAATGTATCCTAAGTCCACCCCAGTCAGGAAGTGAGAGTATGGGGAGCCCAACTCCTGGCGGAGAATCCAAGGCGATCCAAATCCAAGGCGCGGGTGCAGACGCGAGAGTTCGCGTCGCAGGGCTTGCCCATGTAGTACTTGGTGTTCTCGGGGCACCTGGGCTTGGGACAAGAGGTGAGAGTGCGTTTTGACTAGGTCCTCCAGATTTGAGAGGTTAGCATAAGTTGGTACCAACTTTTTTTCTGAGACACATAGGGTGGCCTTCTTGGAAAAATAGATGGGTTTCCCTGGTAAATGGAATAAACCCCATCTACACCAGCGCCATCTATTTTTAACCAAACTAACCCCTATGAGAGTGCGTTTTGATCACCTCGCTTGTGGTTGACGACCTGTCGAGCCGGAGTGCATGGTCAAAATTTGAACACCTCCGTGTTCGACGTTTGGCCGGTGTTCCTGACCGGCAGTCTTTGACTCAAAGGCTCATTGGGGTTCGTCCTTTTTTGGAGCTGGTACCTCACTTAAGAGGACAACCGAATCCATGTCAGGGGGGCCCGACATAAACAAACACGAGTTTTCCAGTCTGGGGAGTCTGCTGCAGGCCACTCAGGACATCATGGCAACCCCATTGTCGTGATTTCTTTTTGCGCTCCCTTTATGACCCCCTAAAAAATATCAAACAAATCGCGGCGTGAGTCACCCCTGGGCAAAAAACCGCCGCGGCCGCTTTCTGAGGCCGATCCATCCAAGACGCTGCTTCCACTCGACGCAGACCTCCTCCTCAATCACGGAGCCTTTGACCCTCAGCTCACGCAGGCTTGCCGCACGAGAGTGGGGTTGGACACGAGTGCAAACCCGGACAAAAAAACAGAGTTTCCCCCACCCGAAATGGCTGTTTTCCTGCTGGTTTCTCTTTATACCCACCAAAAAAGGTGACCCCCCTCCAACAGAATTGAGTCCCGGCATTCTTGTTACGGAATGACTCACTTGGCGAATCACATTTCGGCCCATTCCACCCCCGACCCCATGTCGCGCGGCCCAAAATCCCTCCTCCAGCTGCCTCCAGTCCGCCTGAAGCGCCAGAAACAGTCTGATTCCCTAGAAATTTGGACCTGCGCTAGGCCCACCATTCTGTACCTCTGCGGCTCTCGTTCTGGCC